ATTCTTTTTATCTTTTCTTATTGAACTTTTTGTTAACTTTTTTCTGTGGAAACTTTTTATCTTTCCTTGTCTAACAAAAGTTGTTTTAGTTGTGACTATGTGAATGCTTATTTTATTGACATGCTTTTGAGATTTTCCAATGTTAAACCAATTTTGTCACAAGACAAACCCTATCTTATATTTTGTATATTTACCTCTATAAATTTCTTTACTTTCCTCCAGCTTAACATTTATAAAATTAATGAAAAAATTCTGATATTTTTGTTGCTTTCTGTAACGAAGGTTTCTCAGAGAATATAGTTAATAAAACTGTCAACAAAACTGTGGAATCCTCTTTACAAGATTTTGAAAACACACATTCTCTTTTAGGTTGATTTGAATGTGATTCTACCTATAGGCAACAAAATTATTTAAAAATAATTTCTAAATGCTTCTTCAGCACAGAATTTTATCTATAAAAATTATTCAAAATAAAACAGTAAATTAATGACATAGATGGCAGGATAAAAAGTCATTCTCTAATGGAAGTGCACACTAATAAGCTATGCCAAGGCCACATTTCAGATCTGTACCTTCTGCCATCTTGAATATTCACAGAAAGATTCAACCACAGAGAATATAATAAAAAGTTACCCGTAGAAGAAATAGAAATGTGGGGCACCTGGGTGGCTCAGTAGGTTAAGCATCTGCCTTCGGCTCAGGTCATGATCCCAGGGTCCTGGGATCGAGTCCCGTGTTGGGCTCCCTGCTCAGCAGGGAGTATGTTTCTCCCTCTCCCTCTGCCCCTCCCCCCTGCTCGTGCTCTCTTTCTCTCTCAAATAAATAAAATCTTTAATAAAAACAAAAACAAAAACAACAAAAAAAGAAGAAATAGAAATGTAAGTCATGTTTATATTTGATTCTTCTCATTACAAAATTTTCTGTGCTAATAATTCCATTTTTATTAATCTGAAGTCAATTATATCAAGTAATGGAAAAAAAAGATTAGGACCTTTGCATTAGAAAAGACCAAAAAATGAAGCAAGACTTTGTTTTCATGAATCAAATTGCTCTTTCTCAAGATTAAATTCCTCGTAACATTGCTTTACTAGGTACAAACATTTTGCTGTTTTAAAAGAGAAAAAAATTTCACATGGTGTATAATTCTTCTCACTCTGTACCTGTGGATTATTCCAGATGGTGCTAGCAACCACTAACGCCTGTAGCAGTAACCTGGTTACTCGGAGCATTATGACACAGGGAGTAATAAACCTAATTAAAATCACCTGCATATTTTTTCATTAGAGGGCCAACTTTATAGGGTTAACTTTTGATCCAATCAAAACCCATTTCATTCTTCAGCACTTTTTATCATAATTATTATCTGAGAGTTAGTGATCTTTTAAATTTCTGACTTTACCCCCAAGCCACAGAACTAGGTCAGGGTGTTTAGTTGTATTTCAGGAAAAAAAAAAAAAAAAAATCCACTGCCCCTATCCTATCCCAACAACCATTCCAATCCAACTTATAGTGTGTGTTTAAAAACCAAAAATGTTTATTTTGGTTTTCAAAATATTGGTTATATGATTTTAATGATTACCTGCATCAACTCCAAAACCACATGATAAAATGCTAAGTAACAAATATAGAATAGCAATGTAAATTCAAAGCATGATCCTAAACACATATGTGTGTGCACACGCACACACACATAACCAAAAAAATTAAAAATTAAATATTGAAAAGGAAAATACTTAAGATATTTTTAATTTTTTTCTAATGGTTTTCTGTAGTTTCTAAATTTTCTAAAATAGACAAAATATTTTATATATATTTATTTATTTGAGAGGGAGACAGCACATACACAAGTTGGGTGGAGGGAGGGAGGGAAAAAGAAAGGTAAGGGAAAGAATCCCAAGCAAACTCCAAGCTGAGTGTGGAGCCCGACTCAGGGCTCGAACTCACAACCATGAGAACATGACCTGAGCCACCCAGATGCCCCAACAGACAAAATATTTTTTTAAAACATTTTAAAGTTATGTTTTTAAAAAATGAGACATGGGGGTACCTGGGTGGCTTAGTCAGTTAATTGGTGGACTCTTGATTTCAGTTCAGGTCATGATCTCAGGGTCATGAGATCAAGCCCTCCATGGGTTCCATGTTGAGCACAGAGTCTACTCGAGATTCTCTCTCCCTCTCCCTCTTCCCCTTCCCCTGCTCACACACACACACACACATGCACGTTCTCTCTAAAATAAATAAATACTTAAAAAAAAAAGAGATATGGTTTTATCTCAAAATAGGGTCTTCATCTGTATCACACTAACAGAAAGTAGTCCAGTATGGCACATTTAAGTTTCCCTTTTTTTTTGGTCTTTAATTTTCCACTTGCTAACATTTTCTTTTTATATTTTAAGTTTCTTTTCTTTATCTTAGTTTTCTGGCTATTACCTTTACATTTTCACTCTACAGAATAAAGGATAATTAAATAGAAAATAAAATGATTTTATCTAATAAGTCAGGCAACCAAGTATAGAAAAATGTAAGAGGATTAAATTAATCTCTCTCCTATTGTCTTTCCTACCTCACCTCCTTGTATTTTGTGTGTGTGCACACATAAGCATGAGTGCATGTAGACTTCTGAATTCACAAATTAACTAGAGTGGGTGAATACACCCAACTTTCTTGCCTCATTAATATCCTTTTCAATACTGTTTCTTAGGTAAAGAACACAAAGGGCAGTATCATCAAAACATACGTTAAGAGTAAAAACAGAAGATGTTACTATAATGTATATTCAGAAATAAATATTCTGAGACCTAATAGGATCTGTGAAACATGAAATTACCTTCTCTTTACTTATAAATAGATCAACATGTAATTTGATTTAAATCCATTGACAAGAAAACCCAAATATGCTAGTAAATCCATACAAAGGGCAAACAGAAAGAAAAGGATTTAAATGGCTTAGTATAGATTTTTTTAACTCTCTCAGACTGACTGCTATTATGCCTGAATGAATTAACTTAATTAATTTAACTGGAGTTAAATTCTAAGTGAACTTATATTTTTATTATTCTTCATGCAGGAAAAGGAGAAAAGAGAGATTCATTAATGAATTAATCCTTTAAAATCTGATTCTCAGTTGATGAGTTCCCAACTATTGTAACAACGAAATGATGAGTAATAGATTGAACACTCTCTACTCTCACACAGACATGAATGTATAAGAAGAGAGAAAAGCAAAAATGGAAAAGAAGACAGTGTGATCTCTGCAGGTCTCTGTCACAAGAAGTTTTATAAAATGTGGTCCACCACCTTGCTATTCAAACTGTGATCCATGAACACACATCATGAGCATCACTTGGTAGCTTGCTGAAAATACAGAATTCTCAGGATCACATGAGATCTACTAAATCTTCCCCTACTTTGTCATTGTTCCCTCAGCCTCTGCCTCTTAAAATTCAAACTCAAACTTAGGTAAATCTGTTAGGTCATAACTACTACTGACCCCCCTCAGCTCCCATACCCACTTTAAATGTATCTTATGAGATGTTAATTTGTTCCTCATATTAGTTTGAACCACATTTATATCTCATTATACCTATGAAAATGCCTTCATAGGGGCACTTGGCTGGCTCAGTCAGTGAAGTCTATGACTCTTGATCTCGGGATTGTAAGTCCAAGCCCCACACTGGATGTGGAGATTACTTTAAAAAAAAAAATTAAATCTTTAAAAAAAAAAAAAGGAAATGCCTTCCTAGAGTTCAAGGTACATGTTTGCTACATTTTCGAAATTCACAACACCTAGTATACTTCCTCCTAGTGCAAAGATGCTCATTAAATATTTGTTGAACACATGCTTAAAAAGGAAACTAAGTACATCCCCTCTACTGACAAATCTACCCAAAACATGTTACTAAGGGAAAATACAGTTTAACATTTCAAAACAATAAATAAGCAATGAAAAAATGAACACTTTCCTTATCTTTAAACACCTAAAAAATTTATCTGGAAAGGAATAATTCTTGTTCTCCTTCAAAACTTACATTCTATTAAGAAGCCATCAATACTTTTTTCAGAAACTACATTTCTAGTGGCTTTTTCTTTGTCAAAAAGACATACATAATGCTAGTGTAATAGGTTACCCTATCATAAAAAATCTCCCCTGAAAATTTAAGGAAAAAAATAGAACGCTACTATCGTCAGGTTTAAAGAAATACCAAAACTCAGATCTGACTCAGCTATTTGTGTTTTCATTGGAAAAAAGAAGTTTAAGCTAGAAAAAGAGCTTAAAAGGGGCACCTGGGTGGCTCAGTCAGTTGAGCATCTGACTCTTTGTTTCAGCTCACGACATGATCTAAGGGTCCTGAGACTGAGCCCTACATCGGGCTCTGCGCTCAGTGCAGAGTCTACTTGAGATTTTCTCTCTCTCCCTATACCCCTCTCCCTGCTTGTCTCATTCACTTTCTAAAATAAATAAATAAATCTTAAAAAAAAAGAAAAAGAGCTTAAAAATATGCTACTTCTGATATTGCTAAAGTATTACATATTAAACATCTATATTATGCATAAAATGCTACAGAGAGAATATACAGATACTGCATGTATGCACACACACAGACACTCCCTCTCCTTCTACCTTCCCAAGAACAGCTCCATTCACACTCAATATACAAACTAAGATGTGAAATTTCATAATACTACCCAAACACCTACACTTGGCTTAAAAATACCAATTTATATGATATCATTCCCAAAAGTATACAAGAAACTAAAAATAATAAGAGTTTTACATGTTTTATGTCTAATTACAATGTTTTTGGATTACTTAAGAGATGCTTTGAAGAAGGATTTTTATTTTTATGGCACTGTATCCATAACAATCTACAGATAATAAGCCATAATAAAAAAGAAAGATTTCGACATAGAATATAAAATCATTAACAGTGTGGAGCTGTATATAAACATGGTTAAGTTCTACCAAAAAATGCTTTAAATGAACAAGTTTTTGTTTTGTTTTAAAAATGGAACACGTCACGAATTTGCCTGTCGCCCTTTTGCAGGGGCCATGCTAATCTCTGTATTGTTCCAAGTTTAGTAACTGTGCTGCGGAAGCGAGCACCAGTTCAACAGCTTTTAATCAGCAAGGGAAGAGCATGATAATTAGTCCCATCTTACATTTAATTTCACTTATTTCCATGTTTGTTCTATCACACTGGTCACCTTGTAGGCAAGGACCTTACATCTGAGGCAAGGCCTAGCTCATAGCAGTTACTCAAAGTTAACTGAATTGAAGTTTTTGACAGAAAGCTTTTTTTTTTTAATTTTTTATTCTCATGTTAATCACCATATCATCATTAATCATCATTTGTTTTGGTGTAGTGTTCCATGATTCATTGTTTGTTCATAACACCCAGTGCTCCATGCAGAATGTGCCCTCTTTAATACCCATCACCAGGCTAACCCAACCCCCTACCCTCCTCCCCTCTAAAAACCTCAGTTTGTTTTTCAGAGTCCATCATCTCTCCTGGTTCCTCTCCCCCTCTGACTTACTCCCCTTCATTCTTCCTCTCCTGCTATCTTCTTCTTTTTCTTTTTTCTTAAAATATGTTGCGTTATTTGTTTCAGAAGTACAGATCTGTGATTCAACAGTCTTGCACAATTCACAGCGCTCACCGTAGCACATACCCTCCCCAATGTCTATCACCCAGCCACCCCATCCCTCGACCCCCGACCACTCCAGCAACCCTCAGTTTGTTCCTGAGATTAAGAATTCCTCATATCAGTGAGGTCATATGATACATGTCTTTCTCTGATTGACTTATTTCACTCAGCATAACACCCTCCAGTTCCATCCACGTCGTTGCAAATGGCAAGATCTCATTCCTTTTGATGGCTGCATAATATTCCATTGTGTATATATATCATATCTTCTTTATCCATTCATCTGTCGATGGACATCTTGGCTCTTTCCACAGTTTGGCTATTGTGGACATTGCTCCTATAAACATTGGGGTGCACGTACCCCTTCGGGTCCCTACATTTGTATCTTTGGGGTAAATACACAGTAGTGCAATTGCTGGATCAAATGGTAGCTCTAATTTCATCTGTTTGAGGAACCTCCATACTGTTTTCCAGAGTGGTTGCACCAGCTTGCATTCCCACCAACAGTGTAGGAGGGTTCCCCTTTCTCCGCATCCCCGCCAACATCTGTCATTCCCTGACTTGTTCATTTTAGCCATTCTGACGGGTGTGAGGTGGTATCTCATTGAGGTTTTGATTTGGATTTCCCTGATGCCAAGCGATGTGGAGCACTTTTTCATGTGTCTGTTGGCCATTTGGATGTCTTCTTTGGAAAAATGTCTGTTCATGTTTTCTGCCCATTTCTTGACTGGATTATTTGTTCTTTGAGTGTTGAGTTTAATAAGTTCTTTATAGATTTTGGGTACTAGCCCTTTATCTGATATAACATTTGAAATATCTTCTCCCATTTTGTCAGTTGTCTTTTGGTTTTGTGGACTGTTTTCTTTTGCTCTGCAAAAGCTTTTTATCTTGATGAAGTCCCAGTAGTTCATTTTTGCCCTTGCTTCCCTTGCCTTTGGCAATGTTTCTAGGAAGAAGTTGCTGTGGCTGAGGTCGAAGAGGTTGCTGCCCGTGTTCTCCTTTAGGATTTTAATGGATTCCTCTCTCACATTTAGGTCTTTCAACCATTTTGTTTCTATTTTTGTGTGTGGTGTAAGGAAATGGTCCAGTTTTATTCTTCTGCATGTGGCTGTCCAATTTTCCCAACACCATTTGTTGAAGAGACTGTCTTTTTGCCATTGGACATTCTTTCCTGCTTTGTCAAAGATGAGTTGACCATAGAGTTGAGGGTCCATTTCTGGGCTCTCGATTCTGTTCCATTGATCTATGTGTCTGTTTTTGTGCCAGCACCATACTGTCTTCATGATGACAGCTTTGTAATAGAGCTGGAAGTCCGGAATTGTGATGCCGCCAGCTTTGCTTTCCTTTTTCAATATTCCTCTGGCTATTTGGGGTCTCTTCTAGTTCCATACAAATTTTAGGATTCTTTGTTCCATTTCTTTGAAAAAAGTGGATGGTATTTTGATGGGGATTGCATTGAATGTGTAGATTGCTCTAGGTAGCATGGACAGCTTCACAATGTTGGTTCTCCCAATCCATGAGCATGGAACGTTTTTCCATTTCTTTGTGTCTTCTTCAATTTCTTTCCTGAGTATTTTATACTTTTCTGAGTACAGATCCTTTGCCTCTTTGGTTAAATTTATTCCTAGGTATCTTATGGTTTTGGGTGCAATTGTGAATAGGATCGACTCCTTGATTTGTCTCTCTTCTGTCTTGTTGTTGGTGTATAGGAATGCCACTGATTTCTGTGCATTGATTTTACAGCCTGCTACTTGACTGAATTTCTGTATGAGTTCTAGCAGTTTTGGGGTGGAGCCTTTTGGGTTTTCCACATAAGGTATCATATCACCTGCAAAGAGTGAGAGTTTGACTTCGTCTTTGCCGATTTGGATGCCTTTGATTTCTTTTTGTTGTCTGATTGCGGTGGCTAGGACTTCTAATACTATGTTGAATAGCAGTGGTGAGAGTGGACATCCCTGCCGCGTTCCTGACCTTAGGGGAAAACTCTCAGCTTTTCCCCATTGAGAATAATATTCGCTGTAGGTTTTTCATAGATGGCTTTTATGATATCGAGGTATGTACCCTCTATCCCTATACTCTGAAGAGTTTTGATCAAGAAAGGATGCTGTACTTTGTCAAATGCTTTTTCTGCATCTATTGAGAGGATCATATGATTCTTGTTCTTTCTTTTGTTAATGTATTGTATCACGTTGATTGATTTGCGGATGTTGAACCAGCCTTGCAGCCCAGGGATAAATCCCACTTGGTCGTGGTGAATAATCCTTTTAATGTACTGTTGGATCCTATTGGCTAGTATTTTGGTGAGAATTTTTGCATCCATGTTCATCAAGGATATTGGTCTGTAATTCTCCTTTTTGATGGGGTCTTTGTCTGGTTTTGGGATCAAGGTAATGGTGGCCTCATAAAATGAATTTGGAAGTTTTCCTTCCATTTCTATTTTTTGGAACAGTTTCAGAAGAATAGGTATTCATTCTTCTTTAAATGTCTGATAGAATTCCCCTGGGAAGCCATCTGGCCCTGGGCTTTTGTTTGTTGGGAGATTTTTGCTGAGTGCTTCAATTTCCTTAGTGGTTATAGGTCTGTTCAGGTTTTCTATTTCTTCCTGGTTCGATTTTGGTAGTTCATACATCTCTAGGAATGCACCCATTTCTTCCAGGTTATCTAATTTGCTGGCATAGAGTTGCTCATAATATGTTCTTATAATTGTTTGTATTTCCTTGGTGTTGGTTGTGATCTCTCCTCTTTCATTCATGATTTTGTTGATTTGGGTCATTTCTCTTTTCTTTTTGATAAGTCTGGCCAGGGGTTTATCAATCTTGTTAATTCTTTCAAAGAACCAGCTCCTAGTTTTGTTGATCTGTTCTACTGTTCTTTTGGTTTCTATTTCATTGATTTCTGCTCTGATCTTTATTATTTCTCTTCTCCTGCTGGGTTTAGGCTTTCTTTGCTGTTCTTTCTCCAGCTCCTTTAGGTGTAGGGTTAGGCTGTGTATTTGAGACCTTTCTTGTTTCTTGAGAAAGGTTTGTATTGCTATATACTTTCTACTCAGGACTGCCTTTGCTGTATCCCAAAGATTTTGGACAGTTGTGTTTTTATTTTCATTGGTTTCCTGAATTTTTTAAATTCTTCTTTAATTTCCTGGTTGACCCATTCATTCTTTAGTAGGATGCTCTTTAGCCTCCATGTATTTGAGTTCTCTCCGACTTTCCTCTTGTGATTGAGTTCTAGTTTCAAAGCATTGTGGTCTGAAAATATGCAGGGAATGATCCCAATCTTTTGGTACCAGTTGAGACCTGATTTTTGACCTAGGATGTGATCAATTCTGGAGAATGTTCCATGGGCACTAGAGAAGAATGTGTATTCCATTGCTTTGGGATGCAATGTTCTGAATATGTCTGTGAAGTCCATTTGGTCCAGTGTGTCATTTAAAGTCTTTATTTCCTTGTTGATCTTTTGCTTAGATGATCTGTCCATTTCAGTCAGGGGGGTATTAAAGTCCCCCACTATTATTGTATTGTTGTCAATGTGTTTCTTTGCTTTTGTTATTAATTGCCTTATATAATTGGCTGCTCCCATGTTCAGGGCATAGATATTTAAAATTGTTAGATCTTCTTGTTGGATAGACCCTTTAAGTAGCATATAGTATCCTTCCTCATCTCTTATTACAGTCTTTGTTTTAAAATCTAGTTTGTCTGATATAAGGATTGTCACCCCAGCTTTCCTTTGGTGTCCATTAGCATGGTAAATGGTTTTCCACCCCCTCACTTTCAATCTGGGGGTGTCTTTGGGTCTAAAATGAGTCTCTTGCAGACAGCATATTGATGGGTCTTGTTTTTTAATCCAATCTGATAGCCTGTGTCTTTTGATTGGGGCATTGAGCCCATTTACATTCAGGGTAACTATTGAAAGGTATGAATTTAGTGCCATTGTACTGCCTGTAAGGTCACTGTTACTGTGTGTTGTCTGTGTTCCTTTCTGATCTTTGCTGCTTTTAGGCTCTCTCTTTGCTTAGAGGACCCCTTTCAATATTTCTTGGAGGGCTGGTTTCGTGTTTGCAAATTCCTTTAGTTTTTGTTTGTTCTGGAAGCTTTTTATCTCTCCTTCTATTTTCAATGACAGCCTAGCTGGATATAGTATTCTTGGCTGCATATTTTTCTCGTTTAGTGCTCTGAAGATATCTTGCCAGTCCTTTCTGGCCTGCCAGGTCTCTGTGGATAGGTCTGTTGCCAATCTAATATTTTTACCATTGTAGGTTACATATCTCTTCTCCCGAGCTGCTTTCAGGATTTTCTCTTTGTCTCTGAGACCCGTAAGTTTTACTATTAGATGTCGGGGTGTTGACCTATTATTATCGATTTTGAGAGGGGTTCTCTGTGCCTCCTGGATTTTGATGCCTGTTTCCTTCCTCACATTAGGGAAGTTCTCTGCTATTATTTGCTCCAATATATCTTCTGCCCC